AAAAAAAATTATAGTTTTGGATTGATTTGACGATTATACCCTTGGATTTAACGGTTTTTTTGACAGAGGGACTATTTAAGAGTACCTGTATTAACGTTAGGGACCATTAATGATACAAAAAAACATTAGGGATGCAATGTGATAATTTCGCAAACGTCAGGGATGTTTTGTGATAATAAGCCATATAACAATATTTAGAACTACTTTTGTTACAATATTGATTTATTATTTATGGTAATATATGTGTGCTAATTGTAGATTACAATTTTTGATAAGAAAAAAGTGTAAATTAAAAAAAGAAAAAAAAGTTATGTAGTGAAAGTTGTTTTCTTTTGTTTAAAGTAGAAAAAGAATGAAGAAAAAAACAAAAAAATTTCATCATCATGCCCTTTTCGGTCATTATACATACTAAAAATACTTCTGATAAAAATTTACCAAACACTTTGACTTCTCACAGCAGTTTTTCAAATACAATTTACCAAACGCCTAGCTGCTTTTTTTCACAACTGATTATTTTCGCAGCACAGCAGAAGCAGTTTTTTTTAAAAGCACAGCAATGCCAAACTAGCCCTAAGAACTACCAGATTATGGAAACTCAATCAACAAAGCATTGTCTGAGATACTTGTGGTCTGCCAAGCAAATTATTTATTACGTTTGCGATCATAGTAACTGTTAATTCATGGGATAGCATGTCTCACTACAACAAAATAGTTAAACCACGACACAAAATAGACGACGGTGCATCTTAAAACCGTCGTTATGTTTTAAAAGACGACGGTATTTTTAAAACCGTCATGATATATCATCTTATACACTACTAGCGTTAGATTGATTTTTAAAAGACGACGCTTGTCACTAACAAGCGTCGTCTTTTAAAACACGCTGAACAAAAAAAAGGCCACTTCATTTTTAAAAGACCCGTTACATGGGTCTTATAGAAAGCTTGATAAAGTTAGCAATAAAAAAATAATAATAATAAAAAAGGGTGAAAGTGGTGACCTCAGTATGCATTTTGTATGTGTTTATTCTATGTTCTTGGCTTGTTCTTGGTTGGATTTTTTCTTTGTTATTCACCAAGTTTAGTCACATAACACGAGATTGGGCTTTGATATTGGCTCATTTGATGGACTTTATTTCTTACAAATACTTTTGATTCTCCATTTTATAATCCTTGTATTTGATAAAACCTCTATGATTTGATATGCCTTAGATCCTGAAAGGCTTTGCTTCAAATGCTTCTAGATAGATATTGGTATTGGCCTTGGTTGTCCATCCATATGCATAGCGTTGGCACGTACTCATGAATTTTTTTTTTTTTTTGACATGTATGAAGGAGGAGTCTTGGTATAATGTTGGCATAGTCATTGATGTTTAATTATGTTTCTTTTATTTTCTTGTTTCAGTTTATTCCCTTTATTTTTCATCTTTTCTTAGATGCTATAATTGTCTTTTATCCTTGGCATATCTTTAGGGGGAGAATTATTGTTCAAGTGCACAAGATGATATGATCATGTTTATTATTTTTCTTTCAGTGGTAGCTTTTAGTTTTTGTTTAAGTCCTTAAAAATAAAATAAAATAAAATAAAATTCTTTTGTTTTCAAACATAGTGTCGTTTTGTGCTTCTTGTTTAATTGTGCAGCTAGGCTCTACTTCATGTTACATCTCAAGCTTCGCATGAATATCAGAATTACTAAGATGGACGTATGATAAACTGAATAAGAGGATTGCAGTGTCATTATCAATCCTATCAGTTGCAGACTTGTAGCACAGCATGTTTACAAGAATATTTCTTTGGAAATATGTATGACAAAATGAAGAGCAGAAGACACATAAACAAAGAGGTAACAATCATATATTGTTTATGTAATTGAACCTAAAATTGTGTATGTTGCTCTTGTAGATGACGAATGGATCTTGGCTATGCACGAGGAGACTTTTGCACCCTTTCAGCATCTAGAATCAGACACAGTGATCTTTTCAATCTGTATCTCCTTTAGTCACGACAAGACAAAGTTCCTCAAGGACTTCAATGGTTAATCTTTCTGATTTTTGGTGATAATCATTCTCTCATATTTTTGCCACTTTAATGCAAGCTACTGTTATCCCTCTCTTTTTGGCTTCGGACATCTTGCTATTTCTTGGGCATTAAATTGGTGATTTCATTATGCTATTATATATGCTCCCTTATGTTCTTTCCTCATCCTTTGGATTTCCTGACAAAAAAGGGGAGAGATGGTTGTGTGAAATTATGATAAGAAGGGGGAGAGATTGTGCTGTAGAATTAAGAGGGAGTGATGTTGTAATTTTGTTTTGAATTACATTTCTTTTCCCACATGCTTCACTGGTTTTGTTGTTTCATAATGTGCAGGGATTCAGAACTTCGAGTTTAAGAGTAGGATTTCATTTGTTAAATCCCATGCAATTTCTTTTGAGTTGTAATAGGTGTTTTGTCTAGGAAATGCCAAAGGGGGAGATTGTTAGTATGAAAATTGTGTTGTCATTTCCTAGATTCTAGCATAGGTTGAAAATTAGTGTGTGGAGAATTGTTACTGGACGTTTTGGCACAACTCATTCAACCCCATACTTCCGAGGCATGACTTGACCGATATGAGGAAACTGATTTCAGGTAAATCATGACATAATCATGCTTTCATTTTAGGATTCCTAGTTTGAGTTATTTTCAATCAAGTATTTTTATGTTAATCCTATTTTTATCTCTTGAGATTACTTTCCTAGTTGGACTCTATTTTGATTTAAGTTAAAATATTCCTTTTTATCTCAAACTTGGAGTGCACGTCCTATATCATTCATTGTTTGCTTCATACTATAATTGGTTTCCTTATATTAAGAGATAGGATTGGAAGGTAATTTGAGGCATGCATAAAAGCTGGCGCAATTGATAGAATCAATCAGGTTATATGCAATAATTAATCTCTTAGGCTTTAAAGCAATTCCCTTGACAATGGGTATAAAGATGGCGTGACCTTCTTAGTTTTTATTACAGCTTTCATATTTTGTTTGAGCATCTTAAATTCTTACGAAAGCTGCTGTGCATATATTTGAGATAAATCATCAAGTGTTCCATGTTTACTTGGTGATTTATCAAACACTTT